GCACCTTCCCAGGGCGGCCCCATGCCGCCAGTCTGCTTCCCCCCAAAGAAGAGAAAGAAGAATGCAAACATATTCCAACAGTTCTTTCATAGCTACCCTTCCCGTTCCTAGCTTTCTTCTTATTTCTTGTTCACAGTCTCCATTCTGGTCAATGTTTGATCCTAGATATGGGAATTCTTTAACTATTTCAATTTCCTCGTTGTCTAGATTGAATTTGTGTATTTCTTCTGTGGTCATTACTTTTGTTTTCTTTATCTTAAGTATTAGACCTGCCTTTGCGCTTTCATATTTCACCTTCCAGTTATTTAATGTCTTCTGATAATATTATGGTGTCGTCCATCTATCTTAGGTTGTTGATGTTTCTTCCTCCTATCTTCACTTCTCCTTTTTCTGATTCTAATTCTGCTTTTCATACGAAGTCTTCAGCATAAAAATTAAACAATTAGGGTGATAGGATGCAGCCTATTAGTAATAGAAATTGCTAAGAACTGGAAAACAGGTGAACCTTTAATAGAAAATTGATGGAAGAAAACCTAGGATATATGGCGGATGGAAAAATACACAGACAATATAACAAAGTCATATTGTATTTGTATTTTAATATTGTTAGCTGCCCCGATTGTTCTCAGAGGGGCAGGGTATAAATAAATTTTATTTTAATTTTTTTATTATTAAAGTCAGAAGGACAAATTGGAAAAAAAACATCATTTAATGAAAAATTGTTCCTTTTCATAGAGTATGAATCTTAAAGTGAAATAAGTATTATTTAATATGACCTCCCGGGCAATGAATGATGTTTGATTATTCACTGTATTGGATTTTATTGTATTGCATTGTATTGCATTGTATTGCATTTTATTGTATTTATTTGTTGTTTATCAAAATGTTATGTTTTTATATACTGTATCTTTGTATTTTGGTCTACATTTTATAGTGTAATCCCGCCTCAATCTGTAGGGAGAGGCAGGAAATATAAATAAAAACTATTATTATTATTATTATTATTATTATTATTATTATTACATCAACAATTATTCACATCAGATACAACCTCCACCACACCATCAAGCTTTCTGGAAATACATTCCACATGAAGACTCAACGTTGCCAGGACCTAATCAACGTTAGAAACTCATTAAAACTATGAACCTTTTAAAGTTTCCTCAGTACCCTTCTTCTACATTATCATATCCATGCCATTATTGATTTGTTATTTTGTTATTAATAACTGTTAAGATGATTGTTGCTTTTTTTAAATGTTGACGTTTTATATAATCCCTGAATTGTAATATAATTAAATTCGACTCCAAAAAATAGAACCAATAAATAGAAGACCAGATATAAAAATGTGCGGGGAATGGAAAAAAATTGGTGGGAAGATGTTGGTTTTTTTCCTAAGCTCTTTTTCAGGAAACTCTGGAGGGGAATGGATTGTATAATTACGACTGAATCTCTCTTACCCAGAATTCCAAAATCTGAAATATTCCAGATCCCAAAACTTTTTTCATGGGTGGCTGAGACAGAGACAGCTTTGCTTTCTGATGGTTCATTGCAAACTAACTTTGTTTTATGCACAACATTATTTTTAAAATATTGTATAAAATTACCTTCAGGCTATATGTATAAGATGTATACAAAACATAAATGAATTTCATGTTTAGACTTGGGTCCTATCTCCAAGAGAACTCATTATGTAAGTATATGCAAATACAGGCATTCCAAAATCTGGAAAAATCCAAAACCCATTTTAATTGTCAATCAACTTGCTTTTTATGTGTGGCTGAATCCCATGAGCTCATACGTCATCTGATGTTACAAAACCTTTGGTGTAATCAATAAAACGGTCTCTCTTGTGAATTACAAGCATCTGGTGTGTCTGTACTTCTCTTAGGATCAATGGCAATATTTGTTTGTAAGTAAGTTCCTTCTTTGACTAGTTCAGGGTGCATCCGCTATACTGTGTTCTGT